CAAATGCGGTGTTGGTCCCAGCGCAGATCCGTTGTCCTACTGAGGAGAAATTCAGGGAGATTGCTGCCTACAACGAGAACAGATGGGGGGTCCCACACTGTGTTGGTGCCATTGATGGATCCCACATCCCTATCATGGCTCCACAGGAATGTCATTATGACTATTTCAACCGCAAAGGGTGGCATTCCATTATTCTCCAAGGTGTGGTTGATGGAAAGGGGTTGTTTTGGAACGTGTTTGCCGGATTGCCTGGGAGCTTGCATGATGCCAGGGTCTTGAGACTCTCTAACTTGTGGGAGTTAGCCTGCCGGGGAAGCCTCTTCCCAGCTCACACAAGAGAAATTGGTGGGGTGACTGCTGGCTATTACCTCCTAGGGGACTCCGCTTACCCCCTGCGGAACTGGCTCCTAAAACCTTTTCAGGACACCGGACGACTGACAGACGAACAGCAACTATTCAACAGAAAATTCAGCAGAGGGCGGGTGGTTGTTGAAAATGCTTTCGGCAGGCTTAAAGGAAGATGGCGCTGTCTTCTGAAAAGGAATGACTCTGACACTGAACTGGTAAAGTCTATGGTGCTGGCTTGTTGTGCTCTGCACAATCTGTGCGAAAACCATGGAGAGACCTACGTGACAGAATGGGACACACCTGTAGCAACAGTTCAGCCTGTGGTAGCAGTGGCACAGGGTGCAGATGAGGGGGGCAGTGATGTTAGGGAGGGTCTGATGCGTCACTTTCTGTCCAATGTCTGAACATTTTGCCTGTTTTGGAACAACAAATAAACCTTTTTGTATTCAGCAAAAATGCCTTCTATTCATATTTCACTCCTGGGAAAGTACAGGTATTACTCATATAGGTCACATTACAGTCACCACTCACAGAACAGTCGCAGGAATATGCCATCTGCTGCAGATGCTTCCTGGAATACTCACAATGAAGAGCAATAATCCTAAATAAAATCAATATCCAAACAGTTATTCAAATCAATATCCAAACAGCCCACAACCTGGGCCCATTTAAACGCAGAGCTTCTAAAGTTCACTCCCAAAAACAAACTCAATTATGCAAATGACTTACAGGAATTGACACTACCCAACACGATGTCAAGACTTTGCATTTTCTCCAGATGCCAATTTCTGGACCCAAATCCGCAACATTTACTTTATGGCCAAAAACTCAAACATACAACTCAAAGTCCTCCATAGATACCACTACAGAGACCGCTAACTTTTAAAAATGGGTTTCAGCACTTGCTCGCATTGCACAAAAATAGTGCTGATAACATTAATATAGATATGGATGTTAATAGCAATAATGAGAAACTCAAGAGGGCAAGTGGAGAGGTCCAACGCACCACTAGAACAGGACACAATGTAGTGCAAGTATTGACAGTCATAATGGATTCATTTTTTGTGCTGTTACTTGTTTTGTCATTGTAACCTTTTGGTGGGATATGCATGTATGTGTTCATGTATATGCAGAGAGCCAATATTGCATATTAATGAAATATTAATTCATACATTTTCAATCATACACCCATTAACCATTCCCACCATTACCACAACCTTTATTCCCTTTCAGATTTGGATCAGCCACTCGCACGTGCACACACAAACTCTTTATCGTGCCTTTCTTACCCACTTTCCTAGCTTATTGTATTGTAACCAACACTGTACATTATCAGTAGTCTGTATTGTTCCCTGTAGGCTCCTCACTTAAATAAATAAACCTTCTATTCCTAAATTTACCACAATTAAGGATTTACTGACAACAAATAATGTGAAACCTTTGGTTTGCATGTTAACTCATGTGTACCGAGAAATGAAACCTGGCTTGGAAAAAATCACACATTTATTTAAAAAAAACAAAATTTTAAAGTGCACCAATAAAATTATTTACAAAGTGTCTTGGTGAAGAGTGTCTTGGTGAAGTGTCAGTTTCGGCGGCCACTCATGGCTTCCACCAGCTGGCCCAGGAGACCAAGAAATGATTGGTTAAATGCAGCCGCCTGTGCATTTTCCTCCCTCCTCAATGTCGCTTCCAACTCTTGCGACTCTCTGACGAGCTGGAGTTGCTGTGTCCGGTTCAGCTCCTGCTGCACCACATCTTCAGCTTGGATCTGCCTCATCATTTCTACAGTCTCCGTCTGGAAGAGCGCCCTTTTTCTCTTCCCTGTACAACAATAAAAAAAGTATTAACAGTTGGTAATTATCCAAAGCAGTGACATTTCTGGAGACATACTTTTATGTAGGCAAAAAGATTATTACGTTTCAGAACAGTATATATCACACTACCCGAGATTTTGCAACAACTACCCTTTCAAAGAGGAAAAACCTCCACTTAAAGTGTTACGTGTGGGATCATTTGACTTAATTGCAAATCGGGTAATGTTTGTATGTAATGTATCACGCTTTGTCAATAAACAATATTTAATGGTTAATGTTTAGGCATTTTAGGACAAAGCATGAGCATGACTTAAATACACCCAGATTAATCAAATCAGTCAGTGCAGCTAAACTTACATTTCGCTGCATTTCTTTTTCACACCAAAGTGAAGTGGTATTGTATCACAAATTAGATTTTTTATTTGGAAAAAGATCACTGACAGGTGGTCCGATTCCTTTTTTATTGACATTCTCTAAAGCTAGGGTGATAGTGTCCAAACTATGCATTAATTGGACATACTTCACCGAGTTGAATGCAATTACTTCTGAGATCCACCAGGTGTCGGTATAGAGCTGCACTGTTGCGGCAGAGTATCAATGTAGTTGTATTATTTTTTTTTTGCTGCTATAGGACATGAATTTCTCCCAGGGTGATGAATAAAATATCTATCGATCATGTATTATGTTTGCCTTACCCGTGACCACACGCTGTGCGCTGCTAGACGTGTCGCTCGCTATCGAAGGGAACGCATCAGGCGTCGAAGCAGCAGCTGGTTCTGGAGGGATTGGAGACGGGGACCTTGGGGGGTCGTTCGACGCTTCACTTGCGACAAGGGATTCTATAATAAGACAAACACACACAACGACTTAAGTAAAAGCACAAAACTGAATGGCAACACGTGAAATGGCAAGATGTAGCACGTGTTAGCAGCTTGCTATCGATAGCTTAAAGTAGCTAGCTCACTTTGTACAGCAGACAACAATCAAACGTTTACATGAATAAATACATTCCAGTGGGCATTGAGCCACAGGTTACGTGATAATGCATTTTCACAATAACTACAGATAAAAGTTACAAAGCACTTACCATTATCGCCCATTCTCGACGTGGAAGAAGAGTCCAGAGCACACTCCCGTCCATTGTTTGCAGGCCTGTGGCCATAAATGGCATCCATCTCGGCATACCACCTCCAGGTCTTCCGATTGACCCCACTTCGGCCGTTGTGGTCCTTTATGGCCCGGTAATCGCACTTCATCTTCTTAATCTTGTCCCTGCACTGCTGATGCGTACGGTGGTAACCGTGTGTTAGCAAGAGCTGGGCGATCTCTTTATAGACCTTCTCATTTCGCGTACTGCCATCGAGCTCCTTCTGTATTCTGTCTTCGGCCAGTAAAGACAGAAATGTTTGGACCTCATCAACAGACCACGGTGTGGACTTTTGCGGCTTGCTGGATTCCATTTCTCGAGTGCAGTGCGTATGCTCACAGGGCAGTTTTAAAAATGGCGGGGTTGAATCTTGTCTCTCAATACGGTCAGACGTCGCACTTATGACGCTACCAGTGACGACAGTCGTTGGCCAATAGTGTGAGAGAGCCGTTGGCCAATAGCGTAGGCAGTCCGCTTACGTCACGAGCGTGTAGCTTTTTGGAACCGCTCCAGAGGCGGTCCGAAAATAGAACACAATACCTAGCTTCAACGCTAGTGGAAATGCAAAAGTAACGCGCCGTGTCGTGTAGAGTGGTGTAGTGCCGGTGCTGTGGAAAAGCGCTATAAGTTACTTTGGTCCCAGCTCTCTGCAGGTCATTCATCAGGTCCCCCCGTGTGGTTCTGGGATTTTTTTATCACCGTTCTCATGATCATTTTGACCCCACGGGATGAGATCTTGTGATCGAGGGAGATTATCAGTGGTCTTGTATATCTTCCATTTTCTGATAATTGCTCCCACAGTTGATTTGTTCACACCAAGCTGCTTGCCTCTTCCCAGTCTGGTGCAGGTCTCCTATTTTTTTCCTGGTGTCCTTCGACAGCTCTTTGGTCTTGGCCATAGTGGAGTTTGGAGTCTGACTGTTTGAGGCTGTGGACAGGTGTCTTTTATACAGATAACGAGTTCAAACAGGTGCCATTAACACAGGTAACGAGTGGAGGACAGAAGAGCTTCTTAAAGAAGACGTTACAGGTCTGTGAGAGCCAGAGATCTTCCTTGTTTGAAGTGACCAAATACTTATTTTCCACCATAATTTACAAATAAATTCTTAAAAAATCCTACGATGTGAATTCCTGGATTTTTTTCACATTCTGTCTCTCACAGTTGAAGTGTACCTATGATGAAAATTACAGACTTCTGTCATTATTTTAAGTGGGAGAACTTGCACAATCAGAAAAACAGCCCCAAAGCATGACAAAAGGGGCGACAGTAGCTCAGTTGGTAGAGCAGTGGCCTTTGAGTCTGGAGGTCGTGAGTTCGATTCCCACCATGGGACCTACTCAAATTGCTCCCACTGATGTCTACTGTCGTTGTGTCCTTGGGCAAGACACTTAACCCCACGTTGCCTGAAGCCCCCGCTGAAAGACCAAGGGTGTTTCACCAATGACAGAGCAGCCATCTTCCTGTGGACCCACCACCTGCAGAGGATCAGCGAGGGACTGGTGCTATGAGCATTGGGTGGCAGCGCTCATTGCCACCCCCCTGACCCAGAAATGGACAATAAAGGGCTTGAAATGAAATGAAACTTGCACAATCGGTGGCTGACTAAATACTTTTTTGCCCCATTGTATATACACGCATGCATGCATGCGGGTATGTGTGTATATGTATGCATGTATGTATATTGTACCTGGGTGGACTTATCTCTCATACACAGGGGGTAGAGCGCATGAGGGTCCCGGGGCCACTGTCCGCTCAGGTAGGGCCCGGTTACCGTTCCCAGGGACGAGGTGCGGCGGATGACCCCCAAGCCTGCCTGGTGCTGCTGCTGCTGCCTGCTCCGCTCAACTGCACAAACAAACACAGAGCAAAACAATGAGAATGGCTGCCTGAACGCATTGAAAAATGAAAGTGAGAATTCCTGGATACAACATGCATTCTGTCACACTGGAGTTTATTTTAAGTTGTTATCAGTAGAGTTACAGAACACATTTAGAAAGTCAAAGAGTGGTTAGTGTTTGCATCACAAGCAAATCATATAGAAGTCTGTACCATAGACCCGCGTTTCCCAACCTTTTTGAGCCGTGGTACACCTTTTCCAATAAACACCAGCTGAAACTGATACAAAAATGTAACTCTGCCGCCATGATTGACAATTTCTCATCAAATTGTTTATATAGAGAGTCAAACAAGCACAAAAAAGTCTTTCTAATCTTCAACATTATTTTATTTTCACATTGTTTTGGTGGATTAGATGATAATGGCTCAATTCCAAAGGCACACAGCAAATATCTCAAGGCACACTAGTTGTTCCATGGCACACTGCTTGAAACAAGCTGCCATAGACAGTTCTCCAAACCTCCTACAGAATGCAAATACAACCATGTCCCCTTCACAGCAACCCAAACTAATGTAAGTACCTTGTGAGATGGATTACTTACCACATTATTATCATGAATATCACAAAAGCACTTGACAGGTCATTGTACTGCAGTAGTAACGGTCACATTTAGAGCAGGGAGTTACGCAGCCTGCCTTTATGGGATCATATCAGAGTACACAGAGGAGGCAGTAAAGCATGCACTCTTGCCCAACACTCCACCATGAAGAGGATTCTATTGAACTGTGTAAACGTCATGTCCAATGTTCTTCAACAACAGTACAATGACAAGCTTGGTGTATTGGAAAGATACTATTGGCTTTACTTTAGTGATGATAGTGTAAAGAAAGTGGTTGTAACAAAGCACTATGGACATTAGGGTAAACATAAACCATAGAATCTCGATTCAGTACTGCACTCTCAAAACCTTTCACCACATTCTCCTCTGCTGGATCAGTCTTTAGCCCTGTTCCCACCAGACCAAGCAGTACGGCAGGTTCACATGCAAAGGTAAAGGTGCCGTACGTTGGTGCGAATATTCAAATGAGCAGCACGTTTCTGCAGCTTGTGACCCCAGCTCCACTGCCCTGTGGGTGCCGCGCTATAGTCCGTCCAAACAGTTGAGCAGTATTAATTTCCTGCGTTTCGTCTGTGCAAACCAATGGCGTGTAGCGCAGTATTGCTGGGGTCAAGCCGCTCAGAGCAGGAAATAAGGCAAAACAAGAGCTAAAACAGGACTAAACCGGGACTAAACTCGGACAAAACCATGACTAAACCGGGATTAAAACCAGGACTAAACCAGGTCTAAACTGGGACTGACAATGGGGTACAGTGCGTGCGAACATATTCCCTCACCCCGAATTGTGTGACAAAATGTGGTTCAGATTTCTACAACTGAAATCTTCCTGAATTCATTTTGTATCTTGTTTTATAAAGCACTGTGTGTGACATTCATGTGGTAGCCGCCTGTGGCCTAAACATTTAAATATTGTTCACATAATAACCATGTTAATTGGAATATATAGGAGTGGAATATTTAGTCAGTCTTCATTATAAACTGAAAAGAATTGTCGTGACACATCTCAGCACAAATCCCCAGTGTGTGCACCTGTACAGGAGCCCTCAACAAGCACTTTATGCTGATGAAGGGATGCTCACTAAATATCACAGAGCTGCACTTCTGCTACACCTCAGTGGCATTTGGAGGGCTTTCTCTTGATGTCCTCCATGTCATTTGCAAACGTTGACATTAATCGTGAGCCTGTCCCTTGCCCCGACCAGTCAAACGCATATAACCCTGTCAAACGCCTTCTCAAATCAAAGCACATGCATAGTACACTTTCTGTCTTTCTCTTGCTTCACTGAGGATAAATGTCAAGGAGGATTTTCAGCTTTGCTCCATACCTAGCTGTTCTTTTATCCACAAGTATGCATGTCTTCCCCATCGCCTGACAGCAATGAGCTATTGTAATCTGTGCTGCTGCTTCCACTGCAGAGAATCCTATTAAACAAGGAAGAGGCCAGGGCAGCGTCGCAGGTCCACAGGAAGGACTACACTACGCTGGACTGAATTAGAACGCTGCTGGTGCTCCTTGATGCTGTCCCTCCAGTCCACACAGCATTACACAGCTCCCAGTAGGTTAGGCAGGCTTCAGTTATTAGCAATATCCCACCAGAGTTCAGACTGCCAATTATATTATGATGGTGGACACTGCTAAAAGCACTGGGGTGGCATTTAGTATAGAGTTTCCTTCAGCGTGTTAGCGTCTCTTCATCTTCACAAGTGCGTGTATGAATTGTGTAATACAAATAAGCTTGCCGTGCCTCTCAATTACAGAATATTGTTGTAGGGTTTTTACTTAAGCAGCAAAGAGAGCGTTATCCGTCACCTCCAGTTTCTCTCCCTAAAATCTTCAAATCAGGTCAGATATCTAGGGGTAATACTGGACTCAATAACATCAGCAGCTTTTGACCATTCAAAAAACATTAGATCAAACATATACTCTGAGGAGCACAGGGACTGGCCCCCTGCTAGTGCCCAGAGACTGAACTAAACATGGGGAGGCAGCAAATATTCAGGACAGATGTGTAAATGCACCGAGGCTGGTGACCCGACTTCTGCAGTTGTATTCTTGACTTGAACCTGTTTTTCTGGGTTTTTAAAGTTTCACGAGTTTCTGACTTTGCTCTGAACGAGGTTTCTGGCATATGCCTGAGTGAGACTTTGTAAAGTAATGTAATGTACTTCAGGACTTGGTGGCGGACCCTCCATTGCAATAGAAATTCTGAATATATTGTTCTTGTTCAACGCAATCCCAGGCCATTCTGAGACTGGCTGTTTGAAGCATTCCTGACCTAATCCAGAGCTAAGTGTGCGCTGGCAGCTAGAAGCCTTCTGGCATTATGAAACTAACTTAGCACGATGACAAACACCGCTGTGCTGAACTGGGCTGAACTGGACTGGAGCACAATAAAACGTTAGCGAACCTCTTCATTTGTGGTGCAGCGAGAATAAAAACCACCAGGCATGAGAAATCCACGCTGTCTTCTGAACAATAGGGACTAAACGCAGCACCTTTCAATCCGCACCTATAAATAAAACCAGGACTGTGTGATTCTCAATCCATGGCATTTACTGATTTTGGAGGAAAAACTGGATTGAGTTAAAGTGAACGTGTATTACAATAGTGAGCAAATAGACAAGCTGTAGATACTGTGCACTAGTGCTATCAAATCACATACATTTGAACAGATTTTATCTCAAGAGTGTAACACTTTCGAAGAGATTACTTCATACAGTATTGTATCTTATCTTACACCATTACCACACATTTTAGAAAACCTCACTGCAAAATGTATGTTAAATGTATATAAAATCTTTACTAGTGTTTAGATTTCTACAACACACTTTGACGGTTTCGGTTTATAAAATAATTAGTGCTGTCAGACGATCTTTTATACAGTATGAGTCCCCAGATTATAGGTCAACATTCCCATATCATATTTGACCCTCTCTGAATAAGTTTAAATAGTAATTCTTAAATAAATATACAAGTGAGATCATGTCCCTAATATTTATATTTAGCTTTTTCAGGCAGATTATCCAATCAAAGCGCGCTCATTTTCCTGTTTATCATGAACACCGGTCCTGCTCGGGCGCTGACAGGTTTTCCTAGTGACAGTGAAGGATGGGTCAAATGCAGAGGACATACAGGTCTAAATTAGTTATTTCTACAAGTACACCTTAAAGCTTAATCATTAATGAAATCATCACAACTGCAAACCAACTTTTGTTGGTTTGCATGTCTCATGCTCTTAAACACAGATAACAGATCTGTGGTTTAGCAAGTGGTTTAGCTAGACGCATTAGAAGGAGGTAGCATAACGTCACGCGCACATCCTCTATAGTGCATGTTATAACTTGGTGGGGAAAACCGGTTCACCACTCAGAAAGGCCAAGGTCGAAATGTCAAGATCAAACCCACGACCCCTCACAGGTATCACCCACTCAGCCACTGTGGCGCTGTATGGACAGTAGGAGTGCAACCCTTTAACATTCTACCATTTGCACATAATCATTTAAAGAAGAAAGAGTCCTCCATTCCAAACACCATCTGTTCCTTCTGCCTATGCCACAAAAAAGGCAGAGACTATCCAGCCAGGTTTTATAAATAGCAAGACATTCTACTTTTTTTTTTCTTCTCATTTAGCTTACAGCTTGTGAGAGGATATGTCCCACTCAAAAGAACACTGATAGAATTGAAAATTGCAAACACTCCTACTTGTTTGTAAAGTTAAGTTAGGAGCTGAGGCCGCAAACACTATTTGAGCTCCTATTTTATCAGCTTTTCAATGTGTATTTGTATTTGATGTGACTTTATCTAAATGAGGTTTCCTGTAAAGTTTGTTTTGACTAAACTAAACCGACAGTGCTTTGTTTAAGCACATACAGTAGGACAGTAGGACAGTAGTAGTACAGTTACACAATGACCAATCAGGGACACACAACTCAACATTCAACATCATTTATGGACATTGGTTATCTGCCCCTTATGGACCAATGGCTCTAGGTGCTTTTATCAATGCATGTCTTGTGTTGAACTTTTGATTCTCTGATCTGTGTTGGCAAATTCAACGGTTTTGTTAAGTCTTCCTAGATAACTACTGTCGTGATTTAAAATATATTGAACTGAATCGAACCAATAGTAATGACAGAGGGCTGACCCCTGGTGGATCGAGAACAAGTGCGTCTGCAGCGCTGTTATCTTGTGCACAGATTTGATGCTTCCAACCTCTGCAGTGCAAGGTCACAGCCGCCGGACTGTGGGTCATATGGCCACCTTAAACCCCAGCCCTCCCAACAAGCGCTCATGTATAATTCACACCATGCTATTTAGAGAACTACGCAGGGTTCCCTTCATTATTACAGCTGCGTCATTTTGTCCCCTCTTTGTCAGCGTGAGTCAAA